GTTCTAAACTAAAATCAAAACAGGTCATGAATCTCAATATTAAAACAGAAATAATCAGCTGGAAGATAAAATAGGTAGAACTGTTAAAGACATCAGTGTAAGCAAGGACTTTCTGAGCAGAACCCCAATTGCACAAGATATAATACTAGGAATCAACAAATTTGATCATATAAAATTAAAAAGCTTCTGCATAGCAGAGGAAACATCTGACAGAGTGAAGAGACAGCTGACAGAATGGTAGTTTTTGCCACCTACAGCTTGACTAGAAGATAAATATTTTGAATACATAAAGAACTAAAAAAAAAACAAACCCAAACAGATACCCCAAATAAAAGACCTAATCAAAAATAGGCAGCTGATATGAACATATACTTCTCGGCAGAAGAAATAAAAATGACTAACAAATACATGAAAAGATGTTCAACATCTCTGACCATTAGAGAAATGTAGATTAAAATAACATAGAAGTTCCATCTTACCACAGAAAAAAAGGCTATCATCAAGAAATCAGATGATAAAAATGCTGATGAGGGTGCAGGGGAAAAAGGAACCCTTCTACATTGTTGCTTGGAGTATAAACTAGTACAACCAGTATGGAATTAGGTATGTAGGTTCATCAAAAAACTAAAACAAGAAATTCCACTTGACCCAGAAAGTCTCCTAGATATCTTCCTGAAAGAGTTAATGACATCACATTACAGTGCTACATGCACACCCATATTTATAGCAGCACAATTCATAATAGCTAAATCTTGGAAATGGCCTATAGGGCCATCAACAGATGAATGGATAAAGAAAATGTGGTATTTATACAGAGTGGAATACTACTCTGCCATAAAGAAAGACAAACTCAAGTCATTTGTAGAAAAATGGATGCACCTCGAGGCATAATGTTAGGTGAAATAAATCAGATACACAAGCTTAGATATCACATGGTTTCTCATGAGAAACCCAAAATATAAATAAAAAACACAATATAGGATAGATAATAGGAAATAGGGAGATGGATCTTTTGGATACGGAAAGGAGATCAAGAGATGGAGGGAGGGGAGAGAAAGGAGAGGGGCAGGGGGTGAAGAAAGAATCAAGACGTGTTATGTGCATGGACCAACTCCCCACAGTGAATAGAATCATTGTGTACTGTGAACACATACTAGTAAAAATTAAAATTAAAGAAATAATGCTGCTACAAGATGGATAAACCTTACAAATTTTAAGCTAAATTGAATTTTGATATACAAGTTATACTCAAATAAGCTGTCTATAGAATTAAATAGTAATCAAAGAATTCAGTGAGATCAGAAAACTAGAAAACAAGTGAAATTCTATAAAGTGTGTGTAAGAAGCCTTGGAAACTCATGGTACACGGGGATTTCCTACCCTAGGTCTTGAAGAGGGCTGGAGTCCAGGTGCGAGCAGTACAACAGGGAAGGCAGGGAAACGTCCAGAAGGAAGGCAAAACAGTGCAGCATGGAAGTCCACTGCAGGCTCAGGAGAGCCCTGAGCCACATGGACTGGACATGGACCAGGTCGAGGGCATTCAGGAGCTGAAGGGGAAATTGTAGCCGGACTTTGGAGACCTTTTGTTTTTAGGCAGAAGATTTAGAACTGGTCTATTGGGCAATGAGAAGCCCCTGAGAAGGGAGGAACATGATGGAAGAGGCGTTTGAGATGGCACATCTGGCAGTGCTGTGCAGAGGGGTGGGAGGCGGAGACAGCAGTGAAGGAGCCACCACACGGCTGAGGCTGGAGATGCTGAAGGCCTGAATCTGGGTCATGGCAATGTGGCATGCTAACTTGGTCAATGGCAGCAAAAAATGACAAAAAATTACTTCAGCTTTTCAAGTTTATGTACTAGCACCCAGAAATGACACGAATCAGTATGACGGGCTTGTGACTTATGCAGAAGGCGGGCTAGGAATTGAACCTGGCTCTGCAGCCTGATAGCTCTGGATTCCAGATTCTGCCCCTGACTTATTTGGCTGCAATGCCAACAGCACAAAATCCAAGATCAGGCAGGATGGGTGAGGAGCCCAAAAGTTTTAAAAGCATGGTCATTTTAATGGTGCCAACTAGAAAAAGAGAAAAATAGCCTATGGGTCAAAAGACTGTGCTATGACTTCGGTAGCCTAGTACTTTATCTAGCTTCCATTGGCACATCTCTGAAAAGGAAGCTGAGCTGCAGCGTGGCTTTCAGACCAGTCTCAGATTTCCCTCGGAAGTAATTCGGGGCTCTCTCAGTCACGGGAGACCCCACCACTGGAGATCAGAGAGCACCCACCCACACATCAACCAAAACTGCTCTTGTTTTGTCTGGTTTAGATTTTTGACGTCACAGTAACATTTCAACTGACAAGAGAGCCGAGGCTGTGATTTTAAAAGAAAGCAATTATACTATAGGATCTCTTAAGTTCCTTCTAGCTCAAAATTTAACTACCATGACTTTAATTTTGTTTATCCTCTTTTTTTAGGGGGGGGCATCTATTAAAAACATGGTTTAATAGCTAACTCAGGAGATTGAATGGTTTCTTTTACAGAAAAGAAGGATGGTCTTTCAAGAAGTCTTACTTTCAAAATAGAATCTGTAAGTAATTTTATTTGAAAGGTCTAAACTTTAGCTTAATTTTGTCTCAGAGGGATTGGTACAGTCTCTGTGAGACTGGGCCCAGACAGTAGAGGATGAAAACACGGATTACCCAGCTGCTCTGGCCTCAAAGGGGTCTTGGTGGGGGAGTGACAGCCAGGGAGCAGCCTCGGTGACTGGACAATGCAGGGTCTCTGTGAGGAGCTCCCCAGGAGCACTATTCCCTGTCACCAGACTGAGATCCATCCTAGGGAATATGGTCATTGCTTCCCATGTTCCCAGCCCCTCCCTAATGTTTGGAATTTCCACTCATCAAGCAACCCAGATGGATCAGAACCTAATCAGACTCTGGGTAAGGGCTAACTACTCCTAGTTCTCTAAAGGTAGCCTGGACTTTCTTGGCCTGGGAATTCAGTGAAGCTTGTGGGAGTCTTAGGCAGTGGCTCTGAGCCCAGCCAGTCAAAGCGAGTGGTTCCTTTTATTTCCTCTCCTCCTGATAATGATCCCAGGTAGGAAAAAATCATTACCATATTAACAGCTGAGTTTTACTAAGCACAAAATACTTTATATGCATCATTTAACTTAAAGCCTCTTGCCAATATGATGGGCACTACAAACTATATCTCCATTTTATAGAGAAGCAACCAAGGCCTAGAAAGGTTAGATAATTATCCCAAGTGCATGCAGCCCATAAGTGTCAGAATCCGGATTTGAGGGTAGTTTGCCTGCCTTTGAGTGTGAATTCTTAACCATACATGGTTCCTTTCTAAAGGCCTACTTTACGGATGGGACCTCAGTTCAATGGTCTCTTTCCCTTAGTCACACCACAAGGGTCCCTCTTTCAAGTCCACAGAGAGAAAAGAACTTTTTCTGAGTTTTCTGTATCCCATATCGTCCCAAGTCCACAAACTCTGGGAAGATAAGTGTAACATACAATCATCCCTTCCTCAGCCCCATCATGTGATGGGCTTAGGAGAGCAGCACTTTTCAGCACTCCACTGGGAAGATGTCTATGGGGAGCCACTCGGCAAATACGTCCATGGTCTTTCCTTAACTGCTATTTTTAATCACGATTTCTTCATGTATTATGTCATATTCCAAACCAAGATCACCATGGAAAAGTCACCAACATGCCCACGCACACATGTGCACAGACATGTGAATGTACACAGGTTCAGTCTCTACTCTTCAACCCTTTCCCCTGCTGAAATCAAACTGTTTCTAAATTAACAATACAGTTGCTCTCCCTTGTGTTGTGAGGCACTACTGAGGTGACTTTCTGGCCCAGTTATAAGACCTATGGTAGCATAGGCTCCCTCTCAACTGCAATGCTCATAGCAGGGCCACTGGATGTACTCTATACTGGCTGATAACATACAGGGGAGAATTCTGAGGTTCCACTCAGTGAAGTAGGCCTTTACAAAGGAATCATATTGAGAAAGCCGGCATCTTGATTACCACTGGTGGCTTTCTCTCTGGAAGCAAGCGTCTATGGTGTATTTCAGATAGTGGCACTTCACACTATAAGATGCATATTACACAAAGAGGCCATGGGGTCAGGAGGCCAGGTCAAACACTTGTATGCAAAGAAAGGGAAGTCCTTGATTTTTTTTTTGGCACAGATTTTTCACTTCAGGCCTAGTGATCATGTACTTGGCTCAATTTGCCAGTGAGGTAATAATTTGGGGACTTCTCTATGGAAGCTACACAGGCCTATGGAGCTCAGGGAACCAAAGGCATCTCAAAAGAATCACAGGGGCTGAAAACAAATGAGCTGAGGCTGGCTGAAAATGAATTAATTTGTGCTAGTATTAGCAAGGAATTATTTAGAAGAGCAGGTTAGTTGGAGGTATATCGCTAACTCGTGAGGGAAAGTGCAGAGTGGTGGATGCTGAGGCCATCATTTCTTCAAAGGGAGGGCAACAAGGGAAATCAAGTTCTCTTGCTGGAAGTTGTTGAAGTTTTAGAGCCAGGAAACTAACAGTAAAAGGCAGGATTTCCTTGGCCTTCTTTTGGTAATAAATCATATCCTTTATTGTCCAGTAACTTGGAAGAGAAGAACTAGTAAGGCTTTGCCCTTCCTGAGCAGAGGCTGGAGCCATCTGGGAGCAGGAGGAGCAGGGAGGTCAGGAGGGGGACAGGGCAGAGATGGAGGGGAGGGTCTAGGGTCCTGGTTTTGATCCAGGAGGAGCCCATTTACAGTCCCAAGTTCCAATTGTTCGGTAAGGGCTGGCTGCATAACTCAGGTCCCTGAAGCCTGGTTAAAGCTACTTATATACTATGGTGTAAATGGTACAAAAATACTGCTCCATGTTAGGCTTGTTTGTTCTCTTCTTGTCTTTTCTGCGTATGTGTTTGGAGTGACTATGTTTCCCCCTCACACCTTTCACTCTCTCCTTCTGAGGAGCATACCCACCTCTGTCCAGTTTGAGAGAAGCCACTCACTGGGGCAGTCTTCTTTCTGGCAGTCTTGCTGGGACGTTGGTTTGGAGGCAGAACAGAAGGTGTCAGGGAGCTCCAGGAAGCTTCCATCTGCCATTTGCTGCTTGCAAAGAACCTCCCGTTTCTGAACACCCCCTCCACAGGTCCTGGAGCACTGAGAGGGAAGGAAGAGAAAGCTGACTCAGCGCAGGAAGATAGTCAGACTTTCAATTTGCACCTTAGCCTTGGCTGAGAAAAGAGTATTAAAAAAAGCAAAAAAGGACAAACGAAAAAGCAAAGACAAACCAGACAAACCAGGAATCAGGCCAAACGGCTTTGTTTCCTCTTCTAAAATAAATTTCTTGGCAAAATCTGCATACCCTGCACTCTTAATTCCAGGTATTCAACTTGAGCATTCAGGAATTTCCAGGGCATTGGAATCTTAGAAAACTGTTCCTGAACTATGATTTGTAGTCACTCAAGACAACTGTTTTAAATGTCAGTATAACAGAGTGTTCAACATATTTATGACCCAGTGAAAATAATCTCTGCTGCTTCCAGAGTGAACAAGAAAGAGCCCTGCCGTCAGGACCCATCCGAGGGAGCAGTCCTCTCTCCAGTGGGAGTGCTTGCTTCATCACTGTGGGCAGCATTAGATTTAGGGCCTGGATTTGGGGAAGGCTTCTTTGGAGTACTTTTCTTGCTGGATTGGTGATTTCTTAGGGAAATGGGAGCCAGAGCCGCTGGAATTTAGAATACAAGAAAAATAGGCTCCTCATGTCACTTGCTTTCAGGAGGACCCCAATAATACATTGTTTATATGTAACTTAATAGTTTTAATGCAGCTGCATGAGAGGAAGCAAAGCCCTCTGAAATAGACCGTTGGCCCTGGCTAAATATTTGTCCCTTGAAGGAAAAGGAGCCCCCAGATTTTCGCTGAGCACATGACCTTTCAGTACAGACTGGATTTGGCCACCTCCCTTGAGGTAGATATGGTCATCTGACTAAAGACTTGCCAATGGGACACAGACAGATGTGCTATGTGCAGCAGAGTGTGGCCTCTTTTCCCTTTCTCCTCCTCACTGGCTGGAATGTACACATTGGAAATTGCAGCTTCTTTCTTGGATTGTGATAGGCAAAAAGATAAAAGCCGGGTTTCCTGATTGTGAAGCCACCACACCTGCCCTGGACTGCCTTTGTTCATGTGAGAGAAATGCTTTTGTATCCTACTGAAGCCATTGTTAGAGCTTCTATCACCCAGTCTGATGTAACCTTAGCTAGTGTATCAACTCAGGACTACTCTCTGCTGGAGCTGGTTTATGACAGTAGAGAGTGCTGCTTCTTACAAATACTCCCTTGCCTGTACTTGCTGCATTTGGGCTTGTTGAGAGACTTGGCCTGCCTGGGGTTAAGGAGCCGGAGCCCTGACTTTGAAGGAGTGGCCCTGGGTGCAGGGTGCTCCTCCTGGAACTGGCCATGGGGGTCTGTGATTGTCATTTGGACTTAGAATCACAGTGGGAATTTTTGACCAGAGTACTGTTAGGTTTATGTCTAGATGTCCCCCAACGCCTCTTGTGCTCATAGGTGGGGCTTTTGGGGTGACTGGATCATGGGCGTGACACTGGATTAGTCCACTGAGGGTTTAGAGCTGGGTGTGATGATGGGAGGTGAATCCTGGGGGGCAGATTTGGGTCACCGGGGGTGTGGCCTGAAACAATGTATCTCTCTCTTCTCCTGCTATCCTGGCTGCCTCCTGCCTGGCGGTCCTCTGCCATGGAGCAGATGACCGTGGACTGAACCCTCTACAAACTGTGGGCCAAAATAAACCCCGCCTCCTTTAACTTGTGGATGTCCAGTGTTTTGTCCCAGCAATGAGAAAGTAACTAAGACAGGAACAGTCAAAACCCTGCTGTGGGCCACACTACTGCCTATTCAGTGGCCTCAATCCTGGATATATCCCAACATTACCTGGGAGCTTTTATTCTTATTTCTTTAACTTTATTAGTATACATTTGTCATACATATTGATTACATACATCACAGGGAATTTGCACCTGTATATAACATGCCACAATTCTTTTTATCCTATTCCCTCCACTCCCTCCAATTCTTCTTGCCCTCCCTATTGACAAAAGCTTTGTTTCCATTTTTCCTTCCATTCTCTTTTTTTTCTTTTTCTTTCCTTCCCTTCCTTTGAACAGGTTCTTCCTACTTCCCAATATCTGTCCTCCATTTTGCTCTATTTATTCTTTGGGTTTCTTATACAAGAGAAACAATGTGATATTTAAACTTGTGTGTCTGATTTACTTCACTTAAGATTATGGTCTCAAGGTGCATCCATTTTTCTACAAATGATTTAAATTTATCCTTCCTCATGGCAGAGTAGTACTCTGCTGTATATAAATACCACATTTTCTTTATCCATTTGTCTGTTGATGGGCATATTCACCTGGGAGCTTTTAAAAAGTACTGATGTACAGGCTTATTGAGTCAATTCCTGGAAGCTAGGTTCCAAGTACCCATTTTTTTATAAGGGACTTTGTGAGCAATTCTTCCCCAGATAATTCTATTGTGCAGCCAGAGCTGAGAAACATCTCTCCAAATTAATGCCCTTCCACTATTCCCAGTAGAATTAAAATAAACGTGGAAAGGAAAATCTAGGGCTCAGAGAGGCCTCTGTTTTGACCAGAGTTTAGCTGGATCTCACCCAATCAAATATGTCATTTGTTTGCAGTTGTGAAAGGCTTGAGGTCACAGAGGTATTGAATAAAATAATCCTGGAGCCTTTCAAATGATCTAGACATAGTTAGCAACCTCTTTTTGCATTTAGAATTTTAACAATTCAAAATAAAAATAACCTTATTGAATGTAATAGGGGAAAAGGTATATTTTCTTATTGCTAGGATCAACTATCTACCATTGAAAGCTTACAAAAATGGTAAAAGCATTTTATGAAGCAGATCTTATTCCTGTGTCACAGATAAAGCAGCTAAGTTCAGAGAGATGACGTCACTCAATTCAGGCCACTTGGACTAGAACTGGTTCACTTCCATTTAGTCCAGCTTCCCCAAGCACTTGCTGAAAACTACCCCCGCCCTGCCCCCCCAGCTGGCAAACAAACGCAAGCTCACTTCTCTCCCCTGTGCTTGTGTGTGCTTGTGGCAACTCTTCTCAGGTTACAGAGCTAGTGGGCTGCTCTGGCCAAGCTTCAGTCCATGCCCAGGGCTGCTGACACTGGCCTCTCCTCCCTGGAGGGGAGCTGGTTTGCAATGCAGGTCTCAGCCTCTCACTCTAGGGACCCTCACCCACTACCAGCCCAGGATCTAGGTTGCAGACCAGCCTTTGAAAATAGTTGATCTACGCTGCTGACCCTAGAAACTTGTTCTCCCCAAACGCTTTGATTTCTGAGCTGACCAGCTACATTTGAACACAGTTGGCTGCAGAGAATGTGTTGCTTCTCACAGATCTAAACAGTAACTTCCAAGGGCTTTTTAGCGTCTTTTGTCCTTAAGAAAAAAAGTCTACGTGGCCTCAAATCTTTGGCTTCTTTGTGGCTTACTTCAGTAACTCCTTGGAGTTTTCATTAGTAGAGAAGCAAATTTTTCTTTTAGTTCTTAGATGCAATTCAATAAAATAGCAAAGAATTTCACTTTAATTCACTTTGTACCCACATTGCCTAGTAAAATGCCTCTCTCTGTTAATGTAAGTCTTTGACAAATAATTGTAGCACTGATTTAAAGTTGGTACTTAGGAGAAATTTAAATTAGTGGCTAAGAATTTCACTTACTTAGTAAAACCCTTCCTGTAACTATGGATAATTAAGGTTTTAAATTTAGTTTTACAGTCTTTTGCTTGACTTCTTAGGTTTAAACTTCTGTTAGCTTTGTTAAATTCTGTCTTCTAACCGATCAGTTATGTTATAATCATATAAGTCATGACCTTTTATTGTTCTGTCTTCAGAATTCTTTTATAACTAGACAACTAGCCATGTGGATTACTGACTCCCAAGGATTTGCCAAACAGGGGGCTGTGTTCTCTACAATATTTTCCATTCTGTGAATTACTAAAATTTTTCCATGAATTAAATATAATTTTTTGAAGCCACAATTATCTGAAAGAAATAACTTTACAGTGACAAATAAAAAATTCAATTTTAAGCTGTGATTTCTCTACCATGCCCACTCAAAATGCAAGTAGGTTTCTTGACTTAAACATATTTGAAATGCAGGTCTTAGCACAGCGCATCCGATCTCAGCCCAGTCGTTCCTTCCTTGGTCCTCCTCAGTCGCCTACTGGAACTGTGTTTGGGGTAAAAGCTTAGGCAGCACCCTCGAGTTTCCTGCTTCTCACCTCCCTCCCCTAGAACCCAGCTCATGACCAAGTGTTAGATTTGTCTCCACAACAAAGGAACTATCCCTCCAAAATAAACAGTAAGCCAGAATGCCATCCTCTCTTCCCACATTACTGCCAAGCTTCCCAATTTTCCAGTGCTATGATCTGAATGTTTGTGACATCTGTCTTGTTACCATTCGTGTAATATTGAAATCCCAACTTCCAAAATGATGGCATTAGGAGGCGGTGGTGGGGGGCTGCCTTTGGGGAGGAGATTAGGTCATCTCTTATGGGAAAGATGAGTGCTTTTACAATAAAAAGGCCTCCGAGAGTCATCTTACCCTTCCACCATATGCAAACATAGGCAGAAGATGCCATGTATGAACCAGGACGAGGGCCCCAACCAGACAGTGAACATGTGAGCACTCTGATCTTGGATTTCCCAACCTGTAGAACTATGAGAAATAAATTTCTGATGTTCATAAGCTACTCAGTCTATGGTATTCTGTTATAGCAACCTTAATGGACTATGACACTGAACTCCAGCTTTTCAGTCAGATCAGCAAGATACAGATGGTACAGAGAGACGTGATCATTTGAAGAGAGCTCTTGCCTCCCCTAAGCGGCCTGCTTGAAGCCACACTGTTAAGCACAGCTGGAAAGCAGAGGGGAAGGGAGCTGACTGAAGTAGACGGGTCAGCTTCCTGGTGCACAGGTGGAGAAAGGAAGACAGGATACCAAGAGGAGCAACGGAAGATATTCAGCATATTGCCTCACTCCCCTGCATTTTATTCTCCACAGAGTGGCAACAATGTTTTTGAAAGCATAAATCAGATCACATAA